TGTGTAAGTTATTTACTTTTCCTATAATGACAAATTTTGTTCAATTGTATAGGCCTTCTATCTAAGTCGTTGCATACATATCCTAGATTTAATTGCCCCGAAGGAACTAGTTTGATATTTAAAAGATTTATATTCTCCCTGTTGCTCCTCTAATAAATAAGTTCAGCAAATATAAAAAGGCTGTCTTATGAAATATTATGTACTATGTTTTTGTTTAACTACACTATTTTTTTGGAGGGAGAGAGTAAAAGTGAGAATATATAAATTAATAAGTAAATTGTGCTTATCTCTCTTCCTTATTTTCAACATTTATACTTTAAATTTTTACTTTATAAACTTCCAAATACAACCACATTGTAATGCTAATACTAAGTTTTTTCTATACTGATAAGGGAGAGACTAAAATGAGACATATATAGATATAAATTTATTTCATATCAAAATGATTAATGATATGACTCATATATTAATAACAACAGTAAAATTATTTTCTGCATGCTGATAGAAACAAAAAAGAAATAAAATTTATTATACAGAATTAACTTATTTTCTGAAAAAACAGCAAACAAAAGAGGTAACTATTTTTTAAATATTTAAAATTATGCAGAAAGTAAAATAATCCCACATTAGTTTTTGACTGTTTATAGTGTTTTGAAAGACTTTAATATTAGTTGTCCTTTTAAAGATGAAGTTAACTTACTTGCCCAGCGTCACACTTCTAGCCAGTAGTATTCTTCTGACTTGAAGGCTAAAGTCTTATTATTTTTAGGCAAATTAATCAGAAAAGCATATGAAATCATAAATTATCAATGCATTTCAGGTTTCTCTTTATTAACCATGAAACTTTAATGTAATGATCTCTATGTTTCAGTGCCAAATTTTCACTAATTATTAATGCAAGGCCTGCTGTAACTATGCAGAAAGTTACTGCTTAGTGTTGCTTATTTATTTATTCATTTATTTAGCACCTACAATATGCTACATGGTACTGTAAGCACCAAAGTGGATAAAGCATACCCACTGCCTGGAAAGGCATGACTTTAATAGGAAAGCCTGTCACATAAGCATAGTTTGAAAAGCAAAGTCTTCTTGAATGTTTGATGAAGAGTGCATCTGAATAAGGACAAATGATATTCTTGCAGTTGTTCAGGTTTAAAAAGATGACACTTTTAGAGGAACATGACTAGACATATCTGAAACTGTGAAATAAGTCAGTGAACTCTCTTGTATATAATTGAAAGACTCTTTCTAGAATTGCTACTTTTGCACCCTTCTCTAGTTTGTCCCCAGTAGATTCTATGCTCCACCCTTTCAGGACAACTTGTCATTTCTTAAATTTCTGTCATTCACTTTTGTAGCTCAATGTCTTTATTGGTCCTTTGGTCTCTGTTACTTTTCTCCAGGTCATTATTACCTATTCATTCCTAAACCTCAGTTCAAATATCATCTCTTGTTGGAAGCATTTCTGTGTCCTCCAAAGCCTGAATTTATTACTCAGTCATCCAAAATTTGATATATTTTTGAAGTGACCACTATTATAAAATTCTGATACATCTACCATATTTATTGTGATTTCATACTTTACTAATTATTTTTGATAAGATTGACTCCTAACATTTTTCTAGTCTTATAAGTCATATATAGCTCTCATTAGAAAAAATAGGTCCCCTTTCTCAAAAACTGGATTGTTATAATTTAAAGACATCCTAGGTTATTTCTCACAGTGCTCATTTTTTTGTTTTTGATGTTATTTTAATAAAACACACATTGCTGTGTACAAATATACATTTTAAATTGTAACATTAAAACACAAAATGCAGCTGGGCTCGGTGGCTCAGCCTGTAATCCTGCGCCTTTGGGAGGCTGAGGTGAGTGGATTACCTGAGCCCGCGGGTTCAAGACCCGCCTGGGCAGGCGAGACCTCATCTCTACAATAAATAAAAAAATCAGTCGGGCGTGGTAGCGCCCGCCTGTAGTTCCGGCTACTTGGAAGCCTGAGGCGGAAGAATCGCTGGAGCCCAGCAGGTGAGGCTGTGGTGGCTGGGAGTAGCCACTGCACTCCAGTCTGGGCGACAGAGTGAGACTCCAACTCCAAAAAATAACAAAAAAAAACAAACACACACACACACACACACACACACACACACACACACAATGCAATAAAGTGGTTTTAAAAGTTTTCTTCACTGAGACAAACCTGTTATTCACATTTATGGTTATAAAGACATAAAGAACAAGGGAAGTACAGATTTTCTAACTTCATGATTAGTAATCCTCTAAAAATGGATTAAGGTATCATAGTCATAAAAAGGGGAAACAGATGGTCCTGTTTACCTTGTGTAATTTGAGTAAGAAACACAACAATAGCCATAAGAAACTAGCTAAGAGCCGGGCTTGGTGGCTCAGCCTGTAATCCCGCGCCTTAGGAGGCTGAGGTGAGTGGATTGCCTGAACTCACAGGTTCGAGACCCGCCTAGGCAACTTGGCGAGAACTCATCTCTACAATAAATAAAAAAATTAGCTGGGTGTGGTAGTGCACACCCGTAGTTCCAGCTAATTGGAAGGCTGAGGCAGAAGGATTGCTGGAGCCCAGCAGGTTGAGGTTGCGGTGGCCAGGAGTGGCCACTGCACTCCACTCTGGGTGACAGAGTGAGACTCCAACTCAAAAAAAAAAACTAGCTAAGGCTGAGAGCAGCGGCTCACACCTGTAATCGTAGCACTTTGAGAGACAGAAGCAAGAGGATTGCCTGAGTCCAGGGGTTCGAGACCACCCTGGGCAACTTGGCGAGATCTTGTCTCTACAATAAATCAAAAAATTAGCTGGGGGTGGTGACATGCACCTGTAGTGCCAGCTACTTGGAAGACTGAGGTGGAAGGACTGACTGAGCCCAGCAAGTGGAGGCTGTGGTGGTTGTGAGCATGCCACTGCATTCCAGCCTGGGTGAGAGTGAGACTCTGACTCAAAAAAAAAAAAAAAAAAAAGAAACTAGCTAAATGTTAAAAGGTATAGCTAAATGTTAAAAGGTATATAACTGTCTTCTACCAATGATTATATATATGACATATAAAAGTGGTGAAAAGGGAACACTTCTACACTGTTGGTGGGAGTGTAAACTAGTGCAACCTCTGTGGAAAGCAGTGTGGCGATTCCTAAAAGCTCTAAAAATCGACCTTCCATATGACCCCACAATCCCCCTACTGGGAATATACCTTGAAGACCTCAAATCACTCTATAAAAAAGATACCTGCACACATATGTTTATTGCAGCGTTGTTCACAATAGCAAGAACCTGGAAACAACCATGCTGCCCATCAAAAGAGGACTGGATTAAAAAAATGTGGTACATATACACAATGGAATACTACGCAGCCATAAAAAAGAATAAAATCATGAATTTCACAGCAACCTGGATGGAACTAGAGTCTATAATACTGAGTGACCTCTCACAGAAACAAAGATCCAAGTATCACATGTTCTCACTCATATAATGGACCTTGAACATCCAATGTAATACTATAAGAAAATGACTGACAGCACTGGGAAACTATGGGGGGGAGGGGGATGGGATTAACAGTTGCAAATATTGTCTGGGGATGGGGAAACACCTCTTATCAACAAGGGTGCCTGAATGAAACGTAATTGTACACCTAACCGTTAACTATACCCCACAAAATCATAATAAAAAATATTGATTTAAAAAAAAAAGATCCTCAATGTAAAATGTTTCAGTATGACCTCATTTGTTCCATAATAACAATTTTTTCCAGTTTATCTATTGTTCCTTGTGTACGAGCATGTATTTACCATAAATCTTGCCCTCAGGTCAAACAACCTTGATGTTATCATACTTCAACTGTCCTACAGATCCTTTCTGAATCACCCTCCCCCTATGGTGTATGTAAATCCTGGGTCTGGAGGGGAGGGTAATGGTGCAGGGATCCACTATCTTGTCACTGCCTGAGACACAGACATGACTTCTGTTCATAAGTTCCTACTAAATGTTTCCTTCTAAGAAACTGGGTCAGCCTCTTTTTGTGGCCTCTGAGCTTCCTAGGACTTTAGGAGTAGGTCTGCATAGACCTGCCTATTTTGAAACAGACATAAATGAAAAACTCTTAAAAAGAAACAATTAGTTCCAAGTCAGATTATGTTAAAGGTTTAAAGAAAAAGGCATGGGCAGAAAACATGGGCTATATGCACATTTTTATTTCTGAGAGTAATTTTTGCACACATAATAGCTGCTTTTGTGTTACAAAAACAAAAAATACTAATTATTAATCCCAGAGAACCAAATTAGCTTAACATAGAGTAACAAAATCAAAGCCAGTCTCATCATCTGCATATTAATTTGATAAATCAAGCTGCATTTAAAGAAAAAAACTGCACCTGTACTTTTCAGCACTTAAATGAAGAACCATCACACGGATAGCTCTCTCTCTCTCTCTCTCTTTTTTTTTTTTTAGAAAGATGTATACATGGGAAATCCAGCAGAATGTTACTTGTGAAGTTCCATAAAAGTTATAAGGCAGTCAGTAGTTGATGACATTTAAAGACAGTAAAAGTTTACACTCTTAAACGCCCATTGATAAGCTTTGTGTCAATATTTTTAAAAATATAAATTTCACTTATGATGAAATAGTGAGGAAAGACATACATTACATCATATCCCAGCATAGAGTTACTATATTTGCATAAATGAATCACTAGTAAAAGAGTTAGCTTGTTTTAAATGAAACCTTGTCTAGATATTAGGCCATAATCTAAGTGTTGATAGTGCCTATTATCAACTCCCAAAACAACCAATAACAGCTTATGTATCAAGATTAATTCTCTTTGGCTGCAATAGATACCATTTTCTCTGAGGACAGTCTTCAGTTTGCTTTCTCTTCAGTACCACATTGGAGGTTTTTCTGGAAACAGTCTCTGTTGGTGACGGTACGACATTGGAGGTCTTTCTGGAAACAGTCTCAGAGGCTGACATATCCAGTCTCTGTTCTCCATGTGTTTTAAAGCTCTCAGTTTAGCATCTGGTTTCCTGTGACAACGGGAAAAAACTTCCTGGTGGACCCTCTGGAGCTGGATAATAGGCTGCATCTTTAAAATTTGAGCAAATCCATCTCCTTGTTCAGTTAGTGTAGGCAAGGACTTCGTGGTTTCACTGATCTCCTTAGCTATTGTTTCTCCTCTGCATTTCAAATTTTCCATATGAGAGTCTAGATCAGGGTCACATTTTAGGACCAATGAATATACAACAGGGTGGTACTGCTTCAGAATTTCTTATTTTGCTTTTATGATTTTGATGACACATTCCAGGATCTTTCTGGGATACTGCTTATGTTTTGTTGCTATATCTACTATGATTTCGTCAAACTGATCTTCAAGTTCTTTGATGTCAGAATCCATAAGACAATCATCTAAAGTGTCCTGCCATGCTTGCCCATTAATGCTGACATTCTCTTGCACAGCTGACTCAAAAATCCACTGCGCGTCTTGCAGGGCGGGCTCCTGAATCTCCTCCAGGAGAGTGTCCCTGAGCTTTTGCACGAAGCAACTGCACAGCTGTAGCATTTCCGTCACAGTCCGCTTCGAAGTGCTGCGCACCCGAAATTCCTCTTGTAGAGTGTTGGGTTCCAAGGCCTGGCTGTTTGTCTCCGCCGTCATGTCCTTGCTCGCGGGAGAGTGGAGGACCACCAACTCAGAAGCCTCCGCCATTTTCCCAGTTTGAACTCAGTGCTCATTTTAATACTCACCTCATGGTATGAAAAGATGTGTTGATAAGAGTTTTCTTCTGAAAGTTCTTTTTTCTGACAATATTTAAAGGTGAGTCAATTCTGATCTCTTAGTGTGAGCTCTGAAAATCTTGAACTTTCTATCACTGAAGAAATTAGGAAAACCAAAGATCACAGGTAGGGAACAGTGTGTGCTTCAAAGAATAAAAAATGAAAACTCCTCTAATCAATTTCTCAATATTTTTTCTATTTTTAAACGTAAGAAAAATATTTTCTTTAAATTGAGTTGTTATTAGTAGAATATTGTCATAACCACCTTTATAAGTTTGAAATACCAAGCAGTTTAGAAACTTAAATGGTTATAGCAAGTATATTACACTATTTTACCTTGTTCATATTAGTGACTCTTCAACAAGTCATTTGCCTCTTTCATTTTCTGAACTAATATCATTTGCTCAGTTGTTTTATCAGTACTCTCTTTAGTAGAGATTATTTCAATATGTCACACTTCAGAAAAAAAAATCTCAGAGAGGCTGAGCTTTTTGCTTTAGTTTCCTCCAAAATAGCTGTATATATCAGGTCACAAAGATTTCCTAAAACTAAATCAGACACATTCAATTTTGTATGGTTATGGATTTTTGTTTTAGATAAATATTATATATTGTAATAGAAATATGTTTTAAATTATTTTATAATGTCTTTAAAAATATGTTTATTGTAACCTCAGAAAAACAATTTTGAATTTTTTTGATTGATCTCATGGGTTAACTGTTGATATTTTTTCATTTCTTTGTTTCCCTGAACTATCTAGTATAATTAACATTGCTGAAGAATTATCAGAGTGAATGTAATGTCTGGTTTGTTTCTAAAATCTTTATTTAGTCCTGAAGTTTACACATCACACACATACTTATAAATGCTACAGAGGTAAACTGTTAATTTTAAACTTTGTAAGACATAAAGGACAGAATAATTTTAAACATGTCTATTGAATTTTTTAAAGATACTTATACTTTAGTTTACTCTTTAATATAAACCAAAGTCCCCTCTATGGAACATAAGTTGTCCAATAGTACTCTAAAAGTATGAATGAATGATTCAAATAATTATGATTTGTTTTTAAATTCTATCTCTTATGATTTTATCCTGTTTCTCCAGGGAGAAAGAATGTGTAAGTATTCCTGTGGTAATAAGCATAGTTTTTATATTACCTTCTTCTGTAGCAAAATTAATCACTGCCTTCCTGCTCACATACTTTTTGAAAAGTTTCTTTCTTTATTTGAAGTTATAGGGAATGATGAACCCAGGTAGCCTCTTCGTACAAAGTAAACCTGCTTCTAAAATGATGTTCTTAGCTAGGAATTTGGGATTTAGAATGACCAAACTGAGCGGATTATCTGAAATAACTGAGTCCCAAGATCATAGAGTTGTGTAGTTGAAAGCCAAAGTTGCAGAAAGCAGAGAACCACAGTCAGAAAAAAAAAAAAAAAAAGTGGTTTTCAGAGTGATGTGGTAGAATGAAACAGAATCATAGGCTAGGCAAGATCAGAAGAGCGGCAGTCTCATGAAATGCTGAGGGAGTGGTCTTCATCCAAACACTATGTGATTAAGCTGAGCCTTTTTCTTTCTTTCTTTTTTTTTTTAAACTTCAAATGCTCCAGAGAATGCCTGTTGTGCTCTTACTATCAAATTACTTCTACTACTTCAAATTTTACATGTAAACTTGACTACATTTTGGTGAACTACAACCTAATAATTCCAGGAAAGGTATTTATAAATCAAGAGTGTTAGAGATTCTTCTTGCAGTTCCATTTCATATAAAATTGCCAGACGCGTTGTATATAAATAATAAAACACACTGAAATATTAAAAATAACATTTCAATCTTAATGTGTACCTTCATATTGGAAAATTATAAGCACTTGTTTTTACATGATATCCATCACACAAGACAATCATGTCAGATGTTTTTTCAGCAAATTCTCTAACATCTTCTTGCTCCCAATTAAACCTCAACTCTAGCACGTGTTGAGCTTGAGCTTAAAGGAAATATACTTGTATACGCAAGAGCTTCAGCAATAAAGTTTCTCTTTGTTTCTAGGCTGGCATTTTCTCAAGCACTGCTTTTATTTCTTCCAAATTCAGTATATTTTAATTAAAACTCTTTTAATTGTAAATTTTTTAAAAAACTAACTTGAAATGTCTTAAGCAAAAATAAAACATTATTAGTTTTCATAGTAGGAATCTCTAGAATTGGACTTCAGGTGTGGCTCAAATCATCATTAGCAATCTTTCCCTCCTAATATTTCTTTGCTTTGTAGAAGGTTCTTTCTCAGGTGAGTTCTGTCTTAACTTACATCCTGCCAGTCTTGGCAAAAGAACTTGCTATTCCCAGTGTTTCCAGCGAAAGTCTGACCCTGTTGCTAAGAATGAACTTCCATGGCCAGGGATAGAATGCTCCAAGTAGCTAGGTCTAGACCACTGTTAGGGTCACATGAAATAAGAATGGAGTAATGGGAGGAGAGTAGTTCCACAAAGGAAAACAAGGATGTTCTTACTGTAAGGAGGACAGATGGTGCTGGGAGGCATAAGCAAAGATGTCCCTTGTATCTACCCAACACTTTCCCTATTTATGTATTCATTCACTCTGACTTCATATGCCTACCTCGGCTCTACTTTCAAAAGTCATCCACCAATTCAAAGTCATTTATCCAGTGAAGGGCTTATGAGCTGAGACTGCTTATGTGATATTATTCAAAGAATGCCTGGAGATTTATTTTGTTTCCAAATATTTCCTCCCACTACCTGACATAAAGATATACTTTTTGGTGGATCTAAGGTCTTGGAGTTTCCCTAACTTTTTTTTAAATACAAATGTGCCCTTAGAGAAGTAGTGCTTTAAACTACTCAGGGTTGGTGCTCTATCAGGGATTAGTTGGTAGCTAGTGATAAAATAGTTTTCTTAGGGCAGTGTTTAAGGAAGACAAAATATTAGATAATTTTTGGCAGCACAGCAAGAAAGATTTATTTGCTCTAACTGACAATTTTTCTTGTAATTTTCCTGCTGTAGTACATCTTTTATATAATTCTTAATCTCCAATGAGAAAATACACATTATAACAAATATAAGAGTGAAGAAACAAACCTAAAAATAATATAAATATTTCTTATTTAAAGATGTTGAGAAAAATGAATCAACTTCCATGGCCAGGGATAGAATGCAAGTAGGATTGAAGTGTCAAACCACAAGAAAGACAAGTTATAATAACTGTACATCAGTGTTTATAGGGTGTTAATATTACATTTTTAAAAAGATGATGTTATCTTTGAAAGTATTTCTGGTTGAAAAAACTTTAATTCAAAATAACAGATATTGATAGTATGAAAAATTGGAGAGGATTTGAGTATTTTAACGTTAAGTATCATGTTCATACCAAGCACTGATCTAGATGTTTGAGATCCATCGATATATATAACACACCAAAATCTTTACTCTCGATGAGCTAACAGTGAAGAATATATAAAATAATCAGTGTAATAAATAATTAAAATATATGGAATAATATGAATGTAAATGTCATGGGGAAAGTATAGAATAAGTCAACAGAGATAAGGAAGACTGTGGACAATTTTAAATTTGATTGAGTAGGCGACATTTGGGTTAAGATTTAAAACTGGGGAGGGAGTAAGTTGCATAGATGTTGGCAGAGGGATCAGCTAGTGCAAAGGTCCCAGGTGGGAATGTACCTGGAGGGTTCAGAAGCAGCAAAAGAGCTGGTATGTTGGAACTGACTGAACAAGGAGGAGATAGGTGAGAACAGAGAGCATCATTACATGTTTTATACCAAAATACTTCATTACAAATTGGTTGTATCCTCTGATGTTCTAAAAGTTTAGCTATTACATTCTAAAAAGTGTGTTCTGCTTTGTAAATATAGTTAGATTAATAAGGCCTGAGCTACTTTGTTTAGATGTTATGCTTACCTATTTTGAATTTCTTCAATTTAGAATCATATTTTATAAATAGAAGTGAGTTACAGTCATGTACTGCATAATAACATTTTGGTCAACAATAAGCCACACATATGACAGCGGTCCTATAAGATTGTGATATTGTGTTTTTACTGCATCTTTCTATGTCTAGATACTTATTATTGTGTTACAACTACCTATAGTATTGAGTACAGTAACATGCTGTGCATGTTTGTAGTGTAGGAGCAATAGGCTACACCATATAGCTAAATGTTAATATGCTGTACTATTCAGATTTGTGTAAATACACTCAGTGATGTTCACATAATGACAAAATATCCTAAGGAAGCATTTCTCAGAAGGTATCTTGGTCCTTAAGAGATGCATGACTGTGAGAGATCACTCAGTATTATAAACTCTAATTCCATTCAGGCTTCTGCACAGTGAATATTTGTATACCTAGCCCTGAATGGTACCCCACAATTTTAAATAAAAATTAAAAGAGGGGAAAAAAAGATGCATGACTGTTAAATTGTTCTTAAGTTGACATTTCCCTCATGTATGTTAGAAGAGTACTCATAACAATGTGTTTTTTCTTAATAGGATCTAAAGACGCAAAGCTACAATATGTGACTGCATGTAGCCACAGACTAGACAATGATAAAAAGAGCATCACTTTCTGCAAAATAATGCCTAAAAATGGTTAATTGTAATCTCCCCCAGTGCCCAAGAAGAAAAATGTACAAATCTCACTTTAGTGGAATTTCTTGTGTTTGAAGTCCTGGAATGGAGTTCAGTTTGAACCTTGCCACTGATACCTGGGCAACTGTGGATCATTTATACATAAAAATCTTCAATATTGAAGAGATTTGACTACATTATTGTGAAGTAGCTTAAAATCTACCCGAGATCAGTTTTTACTATGTGTGTTTGTCAATTTGTAATTAAAATTATATGTATAATTATTTATTTTATACATTTTTCAATATTACTCTCTAAATGGAGCTAAAGTATTTTGGAAG